TCCTGGAGACCTGATTGCCTAATAAGCCTTGGTGAACTTGCAAGAGGGACGAGTCCTTCTGTGGGAACGGTAAGCACAACAATTCAAGAAGGTCTTCGCTTTCAAAAGTCAGCCCACACTGAGTACCAAGACGGTTTGCCACTTTTTGCCAGGATGAGAGTTTACTGGGGAACTGCGTTAGAGTCTCGATTTGACTTAAACCCTCCCCCCACCCCCTCCTCGTACACTTTTCATAATCTTTAAGCGATCTACAAAGATTGCAAAATTTTAAAGAAGGCGAATGTGCTGCTTAACAAGGTTTTTAGATCCTATTAACACGCCACCATCCGATTGGGCTAAAATAGCCTCTTAGTTATTGTACCTGTATGACTGTCTCCCCTGCAATGTCACGATCACTTATTCTCGGCATAGTCAACTGTCCAAAGGTATAGCAATAATTAAACACTTCTAAAACACCATTTACTTGAGAAAATGACAGTTACTTAGGATTCGAATAACCTAAAACATAAGTGACAAGGTAATTTGAACTTAGACCGGTTAAAAATTTCATTAATTGCAGTTACGTGATGTTGAGAAACGGACCTACCCGTAGGAAAAAATGATCCTCAATTTTACGTGACCATAAAATCCTCCACACAATTCTCAGTTATAAACTCTCAAACGTCTGATAAAATCCTGGCTATTTTAACAGCAAGAGATGGGGCCTTTTTGTTTATAGCCAAAATGATCCTACAATCTCTCACAAAACCGCTTGCAACCGATTGTTTGGAGAAACAAATTATTTTTTTCGTTAGGTCTTTAGTAAATACCTCAGTAATCATTTGTAACCCAGGAAGCTGAATCTGCTAAGTCCTATCCGTCTCACTTTACCATTATGGACAAAGTAAGTAACCGTTATATAAAGTTTTTTTGCCACCCAAAGCTTAGAGCATGCCTCTGCTAAATGATATGGAGGGCGGATCTTTGGTGCTCCTTTTACCTCGGAAGCTGCAGCGACGGCAGCCAACTTCTGCGCCGCATTGCGATCCAACCGAACAATCACTGATGACGGTAAAAGCGGTCCCTGTTGCCCTTCCTGTTGCATTTTCCGGAAATCTGCACTACTTCCAGCAGTGATTGTCTTCTGTTCTGTTATACCGACACCAACATCGACAACGCCAACACCGCTGCTAGTGACGGTATCTGCAGCCTTAGAGGCAGCAGCAGCTGCCGCAGCGGAGGCAGCTGCTGCTACCGCTGCCACTAAAGCAGAAGAAGCAGCGACAGGCTCATTATCATCCTCCCCATTGGCGCCACCGCCATTGCCGCTACTACCGGGCAACTGATTGTCGGCGGTTTGTTCGTCCTGATCCAGAAAAGTGGAACATATGTACTCGGTGATTTGGGAGCTGAGCTTATCTCCGTCATACACTTGACTGAGCTCCTTGTTCAGCATCTTTTTGAACTAGAGAATGAGTGGAAAATAAGGGTATTAGGAAGCTCGCATTTATTACGGAAGCATATCTGCTTAACTTTCGAATAAATGTCAGATATATGTCTTGTGAATATCTTCAAGAGGTGATTCATACATCACTCTGAAGGAAATCGTGAATACCCAGCCGTCTAACAACAATATCTGCATCAATTCATCCCGTCTATTCTAAGCTCGTGCCATATAGAATCCAGATCTTAAACTATCCTTCTGAGGTGCTGGTATAAGATCCTTTGAGGTTATCATGCTACAAGTAACTCGCGATCTCTTCAGGAAAGGCTTCCTCCAGAGCGGAAACAAATAAGACGAAAAACCTACGCTAGACAACGAAGAGATCTCTAGCTTTATGATCCACAAAACGGGAAACCTCGTTGAGATTCGGAAGAATCTTCTGAGCTGATCTGATTCTTCAAATTTGAGGAGACTCTCCAAAATCAAATGGCCTTAACTACGTCTTTAGTCTCTTCTGGTCTCGTTCATCATCTCTGTGATATGGCCTTCACTTCACTACATTTCGGATCATTTCGGATAGCAGCCCATCAACTCTTCGGGGAAGCCTTAGACAATGCAGAAAATCAGTTCAGCAATCTGGATTCAGATGCCTACCATGAAGCCAATTATAAAGGAAGACGAGTTGAGAACAAGGTCAAATTCTAGGCAAGGCCAAGACAAAAGACAAAAAAGGTGTTTAAGTAGCAAAGGCTTTCATTCCATTCCATTTCCAATACACTCATCACCAGTCCACAAACTATAGTACTTAAAATCAAAAATGCCAAAATTGAGTGCACTTTTGTTCTCCTCTCCTGCTTCTTCCCTCCTCCTTCCAAAAGTACACCTCAACTCCGGTGCTTTGATGTATTTTTTTCTACCAGAAAAACCCGTAATTTAGAGGCAAGTCGCAGGAGGAATTAAGACAACAGGGGTGCCATGTGACATGCCTCAAATGTGGTATTCATCCCTTACTTTTCTTTCCTTGGGTTAATTAAAAGTATTATTAGGAGAACAAAGACACTCACAAACACAAAGGCGGTCTCAATGTTACTAGAATTACCCCTGATGGTGCCATTATCTTGAGCATAATCACAGTTTTTTTTCCCCCTTTTCAGTCCCTACCACCACCTCCACTTTTGAAAGTTGTGTTGGTCAGAAAGAGAACGCATTTGGCTCTTTGATTCCGTAATCACAGTGAAAGCATTAGTGGCGCACATAATGAGAGGTGGCAAGCATGGTAAGATGGGTGCTGCTTTGGCATGTGTATCACGTCTCCTACACGGGAGAGGAGAAGGATTGTGGGATAAATTATTCAGGTAGACACTAAAACAACACGATCTCTTGCCTATTAATAAAAATGCATCAAGATGAGTTATCAGGTGGTGGCTATCCAACCGTAATTTAGAGCCCCCAGACTAGTGAAATATTTACAAACTTCTCGCGTATTCACTAAAAAAAGAGATTAAAATCAAGGAGCCCTTGAATTTTCATTGAATTATCAAGAGTGTGATTTGAAAGACATGGATTGGTACTAATTCGAAAGAAAGACCGTTTTTCACCAAAGTAGACGATCCACTCTAGTGTTGGATCATCCGCGTTATAAAAATCTGCAATTCAAACTATGCTCTCTGAATTGTCACCTGGAGTTTTTTACACTCTAAAGATGGGTTTACGGATCCATTCTAATGATAGATAATATAAGAGCTGGACAGCTAAGTTGTCGAAAAAACTTTGACATTTATCAGGAGAACTATAAGTCTAAAATCATCTCATTTTTAGTGGACAAAAAAACTATGTCGGTCCATTTTTGATGTATGCATAGGTTTCTTGCAGACTTTGGTGCTACCAGCATCACACTTTTACCTGAGGCCCGGTACCACAACTACTTGAAATACATTCTTCATTAGCCTACGACACTCAAATACACCAGACTATACTGGTGATAAGTTGTCTGAGTTTAGAATAGCAAAGTAGACGTAAAGTGGTTTTTTTACCAGGGGGCACTTGTATTGTATTACTTGATCTGGATAAGAGATATCGTTTGAGGGATGAGATAACCAATTTTCCACTATGACTCTGATAAAAACGGGCGAAGTTGATAACTTCTGACTTCCTCCTATTGCATGAATGAAAAAGGAACCAAGTTTGCTAGATATCCGAAATTCTTGACTCCCATCAAAAGCTTTAATGGAAGGATACTCATCCTCCCATTTGCTGGCTAGGCAAAAATGCAGAATAAATGCCTATTCAGGATGTTTGATGGCATGACCTACTCAAAAACCCATAGTGAGTTAATAGCTGTCGATCACAGATGTTGGGTGGCAAAAATCCTTTTTATTTCTTAAGAGGCTAGAAATTCTTTAGAACCTTTTGTCAACCATGTTTTCGTCCACTTCATCTCAAAGTCAAATGGAGAGTTACAGAGCAAAAAAACGTCAAAACCTCTCTTGAGTTTCTATTGACCAGAAAGAAGACCTTGGTGCAATGTCTCAAGGTACTCCACAAAGTTAAAAGTTTATACTTCTTCAACCGATTCTCAGAATGAGAAAAGAGGAATGGACAATCTAAATTAATGCAGTCTGTGGATGCAACGTGCTGAAGGCCGAATATGGTGAATGGTCCAGTACCACGACATCTTAGTGCTGACGTGGATTGCAAGGGAATACTTAGAAAGGGATTGGAGACAGACAATACCAAAATGTCAACATAAATGGAAATGGATAGACCCAGAAACGTGTCACTTCCGATTAAGGTAATAGGAGTTATGCTTTATGAGGTAGAATAGTAGATGGTACTTTCCGTGTGGGAAATGGCGAGGGTAAACAAAACAAGTCAGCTTTAAAGTAAATAATCTCTGCAAAAAAAAAGACATATTTACACAATCTTGCGTTTTTGGAAGTGAAAGTTTTAAATCGTCGCCATACTTTGGAATGCCACTATCACCATTCTTTCGCGTATCTCTTGGTCATAAAAAATGGTAAAAAATTCCCATGAATTCTCTCAAACTTGAATCTCTGCAGTGTTGTAGCGCCTCAAGAGTTTTCTGAAGACGAAAGAAGACCTGACGCTTCGGGAGAATGCGTATTGCTGACCCGAAGAGGGGCGTGGGGGCTACTGGCATAACTCAGAGTCCAGGCCACCCGGTGGAGATACAGTGGCGGGGCCCTAAGTTGCCCGATGTCAAAACTAACAGTTGAAGCGTTACACCAACACAAAATCACTTTTAAGTACTTTTATTCAGAATACTAAATAAGATCACACCAAATTTTACCCAAAAATCATCTGTAAAACAGGCTTTTTACAGCCAAGGAAAGATGCAATGGTCTAATAGTATCTTATTTTCCTACACAAAAAGGCAGTTTTTTGCAACCAAAAGCTAGAGATGAAAAAAACAAAAAAAACTCCGCCTTATTACTCGTAATAAGTTATTCATACTAGGAAAAAATAAAGATTTAAGACACGACATTTTGAATGCAATATATACCACATAGTAGGCAAGGTTTCAGCCAACTGGCAACCATAAAAATTGTTAGATTTCACATTTTTGGAGCTTTTTTTGCCAAATCAACTGTTAGATATCACCCGTCTGACGCTGGGTTGTGCATGCCTTCGCAGGCGGTAGTTTGGAGCTCGAGCGCGAATGATTATTAAAAAAGAAGGAAAAAAGAAATACAGAATTTTCAAAAACCCCCTTTTTAGCTGGTGTCTTGGTCGTCTTATGCGCTAGAAATGCCATTTGTGTCAGTTCTTTTGAGAAGGAGAAAAGAAAGCACCATGACCGACGCAATCAACCCATCATGGACTACTCCCTCTCCAAAATAAAAGGACGACGGTTGTTAAGACTTTCCTCACAAGTCGATTATGTTAAACAAGTGGAAATGTGTGTAATACTTTGACTACTTGTTTGACTCGTCGTTTTGGTTTTGCGGGCACTGAAGGCTCCGCCTTTGTACTTCTGCTGCCAGCAGCCCCCCAAGCTCTTGTGCGCATCGACAATACATAATCCGCCTTCAGGAAAGACTCGAGACGCTACTTCAAAAAACTCCTAGAAATATTTTGTTTATTGAAACACCAATGACATCCTATAATCTTTTCCCAACGTGATACAAGTCTGCTGTGAATGCCACTTTTGCAAAGGATTTGTCTCTAGAAGTAAACAGGCTAGCCACTCCCATTTCCTTCTCACTATTTCTTCTATTTTGGATATGACGGTCTAATCCCAAAAAAAGCTGATAGTTATTGATAAGTGCGGAAGGAATACAGATGATGAAGTAAAGCCAGCATCTCCTTCCCATTCCAAATTACAAATCCACCCACTTGCAGTGGTGTGAATAGGAAAATGCCTCCCTCCTGTCTGATCTACTGGCTTCGGCTGGTTCTAAGGGAACGGTTTTTCCTCCACATCTTCAAGGTGCATCGTATCGAGTCGTTGGATGTTGATCGTACCTTTTTGCCCTTCCATTCACAGTTCACCACACAAAGAGATGGCGTGACCTCTGCGAAGGATTCGCTGACTGCCTTCGAAGTGCTGAGGGGGTAGTGAGTGGATCATTTGGGCAGAATCAGTGATCACTTTTTTGTTCTCTTAACGTTGATATGCAACAAAACGTAATTTCTTGTCCCAAGTAAGTCGGTTAGGAATCTAAGAATAGTGAGGCTACATATGTGACTAATAATGCATGTAAATGGGACCATTTGCCCAACTTATACCATGACTTTTCCTTCCCATTTTTTCAGGTACGATCAGTTTATTTTAGCTTTTCGGTTAAAAGCTGGTGATTGATCCTCTTGATACTTTAATCTTAAATTAATCCAGCCAGTAGCAACACATAATTCTAGCTGATAAAGGAAAGAAAGGCTTTCTGAATTCCCCTGAGCAGGAGATATATTCTTTTACCACCTACCACGCCTTCTCCGAATTCTATGCAACAAATCTGATGAAAAGCCTCTACAGCCTTGGAACCGAAAAAAAATTCGGTTCGTATAGCAGAGGGGCTTGAATCAAGTCCTCCGTTACGTGCTACCGGCATTTTATAGCATGGGGGTTTGAAATGGTGTTAAGACAATACAGAGGACTATGAATGGGCATCAGCAGCCCGATGCATATCTATCCAGGGGCTAACAATGCATGTAAACAGTTGTGTGCAATTTGGTGCAGCTAGGTGTACCGCACTTTTTGGTTATCTGATATTATCGAGATTCGCACGTAGAATCGGAAAAAAAGAAGTGAGGAAAATTGCCAATTTTGAGACAGTTTGGAGTATTTTAAAACTTAAATTAAACGAATAAGTCTTCCCAAAAATGACTCATAAATGCACCAATAAATAGCGCTTATTCCTCCTAAGTCGAAAGAAACAGATGAAAGATAAATGATAAATGGTAAATGTCCCAACAAAAGTCAACACTTTTAGGAATAATTTAAAATAAAAATGACAGTGTTATCAAGAAAAAGATAAGCACCTGAATAAACCATAAAGTGGGTGCACAGAATGCCAGTAGAAAAATAACCATTTCTTTCTTTCAGAAGGGGGATTTTGAAACTGGATTAATCAAGCTGAACTTCCCCAAAACCATCCAAAGCACTTTTAAACTAGTTAAAATTTAAAAAGTGGCTCAACTTTGTTTGAAAAATCTTAAGACCTCTGAAATGTCTACAAGTGTACACAAAAGCGTGTGCATTCAGAAATTGTGCAGTGAGAACAGGACACGGAGGATAAGTTGTTTAGAATTTCTCCCAAAGATAAATTCAATCAAACGCTTCTTGATTTCCCCTTTCGAAGGATGGAGAAGCATTCTCGAGGTGAAAAACTTGAACGAAAGTTTGCATTGATAGGGGCGTATTCAAGCACAGCCCCTAGAGCCAGCGGTGGCAGCAACAGTAGTAGCAGCCAACTATTGATGCGGAAAGAAGCTGCCAGTACGGTCCAGGCCTACGTGTTTGAGTGGATGCATGCGCGTCCATCCACAAAACACTTTTCTCTCGGTCAAAACGCCGCACCACCATTGGCTGGCACGGCCGATGCATCACGCTCGCACAGACATCATGTAGAGGAGTGAACAAGGGAGCGAGGTAGGTGGATAGGCAAATAGATACGCAGATGATAGGTGGGTAGGCTGATAGATAGATAAGTAAGTAGATGGATAGGTAGATGGTTGGGAAATAAAGGCAAAAGTGGGTTACAAGTCCCCATTTCACTTCCTCACCACAGTGGCAGCTCAGTAATCAGGAATGAAACCTACTGCATTATCAATTGAGGCCCCCACCTTGTTCCTACATTAACCTGAACGGGAGGGAGGAGTAGAGATTCCAGCTGCCATCGCTAGTGGAATTTCGGACAATTTCAGGTTAGAAACTCTTAGAAGGAGCTCTCCAAGTGGGGAGTAATAAAAATGAGCAAATTCGATTACAACAACAGGAAGGTCATTCTACCCCATGCAAAATTCCAATTAGGGGTTTCAAGTGGATTAGGTGGTAGAACTTTGACCACAGGTGGTTCGAAAAGAAGACTAGAAGAGTAAAATTAACTTCAAATATTTGTTTTGACTTATTACAGTAGGCATGTAATCGTAATAAACCATGCCTATTCCTTCTACTTTCATAAATAGGTATGAAAGCTTGATGTTTTCAGCAAGGCTTCAAGGTAAAGACTTCGAATTTCAGTAATAAGCACTTGAAGAATTTTTTTGAAGGGAATCATTTGCAGCAACCCTTGAGTTGAACCGTAGGCTAGTTTGAAAGTTATGCTGTCATCCAATGCATTTTCACGGTCCTGAAAATTCAGAAGTTGCAAAAGCACTTCTTCGACATTCAGAAATGGTAAGAAATGGATGCTTTAGTGCCACACATCCTCGAACCTTCAATATTACCCATTTGTAAACAAGTAACACCTCATCACAATTCTACACCACTTTTTCTTATTTTTTAACGTAAAAATTCGTTAGAAATCTCAGGGTCACTAACCTTACTGGAGGCCATATCACTGACAGATCGGTGGGTCTGAATGCTCTCTAGCCGTTCCAGACACCATTCTAATTCCTCCAAGGTCTCCACAGCCAGGCTGTTGGGAGGGTCGTCTGCAATTGCAAATAGGCAAAAATTTCAACTAATCAGTGACGAGTCTGGATAATAGCCAAGTAAAGCACCTCAAACTAAACTGCAAAAAAACCATTCTTTTAGTAACAAGAAACTCAACGATAGGTATTATCAACCTCCAGGAAACTACTTTCCGGTTCTCCCCCATAAAAATCCTCGGAAATATGATTTAAAAAAAGACAGTAAAACCATGATGCACTTTTGTAAAAAAGAACAAAGACGAGAAGGGTGCTTTCCACGAACTCACCGGGACATGGGATTCGCCGTGGCTCTTCAGCATGAGAGGTTCCGAATCGGGAACTAAAACGAAGAGGAGAGGAGAAATTAGAGAATAAGCAGAGCTGGAGGCGTGTCAATTTTTAAGGTCACGGGGGGTCACGCGGCTCATAAATTTGGGCCACCCACTGCTGCAACCACAACCATCAAATCCAGCAATACCAACGCAAAGACAGGCAACCTGATCACTGTATCCGCCTCTCCACTTATCTGTTTCTGTGCCGGAGGAAAGTTTTTTGTGGACAGGTGACTGCCTATAGAGGCCGAAAACAGTCTACATAGATGCGTCTTCTTTGATTAGAAGGGAATTTTTAGAAGAAGGAAAGAGATATACCTTCTACAGTAGCTGCAAGATGAAATCAAGTTGTAAGCGACAGCTAAAAATTCACATACCCCTTTACTACTCCTTCAAAAACAGTGGAAGACAAAATTAATTTGTCTCATCCATTTTTTGCAAAGATGAAACGGAAAAGGCACGCTTCCTTTTTTGCGGAAAGAGGAAAAAAGGTAATAAACCACTTTTCCACATTAAGATCTCCAGGTAATAAACCAGTCTTTTAAAGTCTACTGATCGTTTTGACATTGTAACCCAATTTCTTGACTTACGGGTTACTAAACTTATTCACATCATGTCATTCAAAATTTATTTTATGACAATTAAGAAAAAAAAGGTTTGTGCTAATTGTGATTCACAATTTCTTTGGACTGTTCATGATTCCCGAACCTCATCTGCAGATTGGATAACTGTCCTATGCCCTGCAAGACATAGGACATAGATTGAAATATACTTATGATTGTTTACATAATTTTTTAGCGATTAGCACTACTTCACCTCTTTTTCATTTTTTCCCAGATTGAAGAGGAAAATTAACCCACAGCTGATTAATTCCGTTTAAATGAAATCGCGGAATTCTTCCACAACTTCCGCAAGGCATAAACTTCCGAAGGGTGAATAATTTGAGAAGAACGTAGGCGGGAAGTAGGCAACAAAGCACACCCATTCCAATTCGCCATGGCGACGATGACAGTGCCAGTGCTTAGTCACCTTGGTGGCTTTTATGGTAATGTCCGGTCGGCAACCATGTGAAGTCGAAGGAAAGGAATGAAAAAAAGATGCCGTAGAGGGTGGCGGCAGGAGAAAGGGCTTAAACAGGCATCGCCTGACACGCCGTTTGTATAAACACCTAGCCACCGGTAATGAAGAATTTCTCAGATTATCACAGCCTGATAAAGTATGTCATATGAAGACGAATAGCTTCACAATCTCAACTATTCGCATTGGTAGAATTTGACTGGGCAAAAAGAAAAGGAAGGGAAAAAGGAGTAAATAACCTTTTCCAAAACCACACTTGCCCAACCTTGAAAAGAGGTGGGGAGAGAGAGAGAGAGAGAAGAAAAGTGGGCTTCTGTGCCATATTAAATTGACGTATACCTGTCTTTGTTCCAAAAATTTGACCTTTGTCACATGTGCTGTGACAATGTGTACTACAGGAGGAGGTAGGAATCTAAGATATTCAAGACTTCTTTCAACACCATCAATCCTAGTTTAACAATTTTCAAACCTTAAATGGGATGTCTCTTTTGAAGAGAATGGGTTTAGAGTTTCGCCTTAGAAAGTGAATTAATTATTTACTAAAGTTTATCCACAATGTGATAACTTCGTCTCAAACTAGTCTTAATGAGAGAACTGTGGAAAAAGGCGAAACTTACAATAGAATTTGCTATTTAAAATGGCGTTTTTGATATGTCATACTTTTTAATAAACATGCCAAACAGCATGGCAAAAGGGAAGAGGAAAAAATATAAATGCTCCAAAACAGAGGCTTTTCTTTTACCTCCTGAAAGACATATGAATATGGAGCTACCGAAGATAACAAAGATAAATCAAAACACTAAGGGACACATTGTTGTGATATTTTAAATAACAAGACACACCCCTTAACGGAAGGAAGAAAACGAAGAAACCATAAGAATAAAGGAAAAATGTCTAGACCACAGTAGATTGGCGTATTTTTACCGAGGAAGTTGGTGTGAAGGTATGAGACAAAAAAGATAGATATGTTTAATCAATTAAAATTAAAGTTCATAAATGTGCCAACACATGATTGACATTTGCTTGATGGTTGATTAATAACCGACTGTGCCAATAATATGAAAAAGTTAGACTTAAGAACTGAAAGGAGCCAGGCTGTCTCACCCTCCTCTATGCAAGCGCATCCACGTGGATATGAAATACAAGTAAACAACAAATAACCCGAGGTAAAACACTAATTCTTCCAGATAAAAAACAAAGGCTGTAATTGGTGGATTTCGTTTAACCACACCTCGTTTACAGCACCCACGCACAAGTACCCCCCTTAAATGAGGGTAAGAGTGACCTCAATTCCACTTATAATAGGGTTCGACCTTCTCTGATGAGATGAACAATCATTCAGGTGAAGAGTTCTGGGAATTCTCCAGCATGTGTCTGGGGCTATGGAAAATTAATCACATACGAATGTACACAGGCAACCACCGAGCTTGAATGGACCAATGGGGTGAAGTGGGTGTTCAAGCCTTGTTAATTCAGTGAATTAGTGGAACGAGGTAATTTGGAGGAGCGAGTTTAACCAGTACTTGCATCTCTTCTTGGAATTACTCCAATCTAGATCACGTGATGAGATGAGGTCGCCTTAGTTTCCGGAAATAGGACCGATTAGGTGTGGAGACTCATTAGTACTGTCATTGGGCAACATTTACATGCTTGAGCTATGGCCACATCCGCCGCCACTTAATCACCGTCTGAAATGACTACTTTTAGCAGTTACGACCCACGTGACCCGTCTGGGACGCCGTGAAAGCCCCTACAAGGGCGAAGGGGATAAAGAGGGGAATACCGTTTATCAATCCAAGGTCGAATTATCCTTAAATCTTGCTTTTATTAATCTTCACAAAAATAGACGTACATGGTAATGCGTGAAAAAAAATCCCACTTTAAAAATCAAGATTTATGGCGAGAATTTCTCACTAGCCTTGGGAAAAGGAGAGAGGGGAGATGGGGGTGGTATTGTGACTCAAAAATAGGCTTCCTTACTTGTGCCTCCACTCACTACTTTTACTTCGAAAAAACGCCTTTGGAAACAAAACCGACTCGAAGTTTAGTACTGGCATTTGACAGCAACCAAACCGAAAAACTGGGTGGAGAGATAAATGGGACTCCATCATTCGACTACTATTCTTAACTCAAAAATAGTAAAACGCGGTCTTATAGGTGGCGGTGGGTAAGGAAGGTAGGGAGATAAAAAGTTAGAGGCACAAAGCCAAAGCAATTAGGAGCAAGGAAAGTAGAATAGGGCATGGTAATTATGTTCTTTCCTCCCCGTACAAAGACGGAGGGGAGAAGAGTGAACTTACTCCTTCGAGCTGTGCACATTGGTGAGACATATAAAGTTTGCACGGACCTTTCGGAGACTGGCCAGAATTTGTGCGAACGGTGTGACAATGGGTTCATCGGTATGGCTAAAAATGTAGAGGGAATCACGTCGTGAGCTGGGAGTCATTCTAGCACTTTTCAGGGGGATGGTTTGCATTTGAGAGGTTGTGGTATCACCACATCCCTTCGGTCTGCTTCGAGACATGAAATTGAGTCGAGAAAGGCCACTCCTATCACTCTTTCTAGTTAGCATCCGTTTACGGAAGGAGGAGCCAGAGGAGCGTAATTTTATGAATCCTGTCTTCTTTCGATCCGTAGGAGCACATCTGGAGGGGGATTCGCCTTCAACGGGAAGATCAACTACTAGGGAGCGTGGTCTAACTTCGACAGGATCGGATTTCCTTCCAGGCATCACTTTGCGTCGATTCACCATCCCTCCTAGAGGCTTGTAGACAGCCTGAGTACTGACACTCGAACTCCGCCGACTATGTTCCAGATCCACAGCTTCTGCGACGGCTAGACGGGCTGTGGCCTCGACAACTAACGTGGGACGGCGTCCCGTCTCAAAATCAACCTCAAAATAGGGAGTCGAATGTCGTCGAGACGGATTGTCAGTGGCGTGACCGTTAGACTTATTCCAAGAGAGCCTTCGACAATCGTCACAACACAGACTAGCCAAACTCGAAGCCGGTTCGGTGGTGACTGCAGGTAGGATGTCAACAGAGGACTTGGAATGACGCTGTATCTCAATAATTTTGGACTCTTTTCGGCCTAGGATACAGCAGAATCGCCACATACGCAAGCCGCCACAGAAGGAGGATGAGGTTGTGTGCAGTGCTTTCTGGCTACAAGCAGCGCGTATGTGCTGTTATTGGCACTGGTATTATCCACAAGTAATCCACATAGTTGAGAGGAGGATAAGGAGCGGTAAGTCCAATTTGTAGAGCCGTCTCGCGCGTATATCACCCAAGCTCTCTCCCGAAAGGTGTGAATATGTATGTATATATATATATATATATGTATATACCTAAATATAATATAAATGTACTTAAGCGGGTGTTTCAAGAACTGAGCTACTACATGCTCCAGCTAGTGGACAATTTATGCAGTCGCATAGACACACACGCACGCACGTAAGCAATGTGTGGGGATGATTATAAGTGGACACACAGACATGCGCACACAAACGTACGCACGTGTTTGCCCTTTCCGGGTATAAGCGTGCGTGCTCAGGTGTGTGTGAGGCAGACAGGCGCACGTGAGTGCCTAAGCCAATCAGCGTGCCGAGCATGCGACTTATTGGCTGGCCTGTCTTTCTACATCTCGATTTGGGGGCGAGCCAATCACAGCAACGCAGATGCAAGTCAGTTAAAGCATTCGACCCTCGCGTCGCCTTCACTTTTCACGTTCTGGCAGTACTGGCAACTGCCGGCAGCCTGCGCTCTGGCGAAACACGAGTGGGAGCTCGTAACTTTATCCTCACGCATGATAGGGTCATTCAGGGCATTGTGATTTTGCTTCCTAGACAGTTTAAGGTTATTCAATCATCATCGTCAGAACGATCTCTCTTCCGTTATTAAGTCTGCTTAACGTGTTTTGATATAGTTTAACCTCAAAGCCAACTCTCTGTGTTTAACGAGGTCAGCATAAGTGGATTCGTTTATTCTACCTGTTTAGACTTGTCTCCATTGGGGAGAATATTATAAAAAATAATTTTAAAGAGTCTAGATGACAGATAAGATTCTACGATAGCTGCAAAAACGGTAAATAAAGTGATGGCAAAGTTTTGAATAGACGAGCTGTTGTATTGATTATCGATTTCTCCCACGTGGTGACACATGTGAAGCCAGTAAATCGATACCACTCTGACTTCAGCCTAGGTGACGCATGGGGACTCTACCAATTAAAAATTCGCAATTTTTAGTGATTAAAACACTGAAAAATGTTTTTTTTTTAATCCCAAGTTTGTAGCTGAATAATTGGACAGAAATGAAATTGAGCATGAGGTAGAGATCAAAATTATGAATGTGATGCTTAAGTGGGCAATAAATGGTCCCACTACTTTGGGCAACCTGTCACCATGATGTGTTTGTCCGCTGTAGTGGAGATATTTGCCCCACATAAAAAAGAGGGTAGCGTTATTTTGTCCCCACATTTGGCTTTATCTGGGCCCTGGCAACTCAGCCCAATTGCATCACTGCATGCTTGCAAATGCTTGAACGGCAAAAAAAGAGCATAAAACCGACAGAGCAGTAGAAAAATGCTGATTTTAAAATTAAGATGTCAATTAATCGCCATTTCAGTGTTCACTGGGGCCCTCCCACTAACACACTCCACGGGCAACTGATGGAGTGTTCCAACAGCAGTATCGCAATCTCCAATAGGGGTGTGCATCCATTTAGGCCTTTATAATGCGCGGAGAGTTATGGTTTGAATTAAGAAATGCCTATAAATGGCATTTAATCAGACAGGTAACCCCCATTTCGTGCTGGCTTGCCATTGGGTTTGAAAAGGCTAATTAAAACGAATAAACAGATGGATTCTATCACTGCCTAAATAGGAATATCTTTTTTCCTCCCAACAGAAAGAGGAGATTATTTATTCACCACTGTGAGACAATTGTCGTCTATGCAAATTGCCACAGGCAAGCACGTGCTGTCTACTAAAATAGCTTGTTTTTCACGTCTCTGAATAGAAGGTGAATGACGAAGATTAAAAGAAAAAATAGGGATTTTTAGCCATGCCTTAGCCATTGAGACTTGTCCCTGTCGCGCGACCAGCCGCGTCGCACACGATGGAAAAGAAAATTGACTTCTCAAATTAGATTTACAAATTTGGACATTTTTAAAGACCAATTTATCTAATTCCAAATTCATTTATAAAAGTAGACTATTTTTGTATTAAATGGAGAGAAAATAAGGAAATGATTTTGTGCCTCAAAAGCACATTTTAAAGCTTTTGTCGTTCACGGATTACACTGCCAAGGTGAGTTATGCTAATATTGAAGAAGTAATAGGTAGTAAAATCGACATCGCCAGTCTCTCTGATTGGCCGAGAATCAGCCAATAAGGCAATTAAATCAGCTATCATGAATGAAATTTTAGCGTGAAAAATGACCAATCAAAGCGAGGTTTGAATACGACCTCGATTATGTTATTCTACCAGAACAGTGGAGAAACCGCCTATCGATTACCGCCCAAAGGAGGGTAGAAAACGCCGATCCGCTAATATCAGCTTGCCTTTACATGCACCGCATAAATCAGAACCTCTAGGGTTCAAATGGTCTCTAACTTTTCTTGGAATCCAACCCATCCCTGGGCAAGCAATTTAATCAGCGAATTCAAATGTTTTTGCAATGGTTCGTTAGTACTCGGTTTCTATTGATTTGCAATTTTATACGTTAAAAAGCAGAAAATGGAAAATAATAAACTAGTTCGTTTCATCTCAGAGTAGGATTATGCAAAACATGGCTAAAATAGTTGCTATAAACGCGGTACTTATATGAAATAAGTAAAAATAATTATATGTCACGTTCGAGTTGATGTATGCTAGAAAATTTAGCAGTTAATTTTGGGAATTCCCTTCCCGCATAGGTCATAAATAACAATCTAAAATGTAACTAACTTTTAAATTAAGTGATTGTTTTAAATTAAAACTGAATTTTACCTACTAAATAATTCGTAACTAGAATGGCAATGCGCCACACGGAAATAAGAGCAATTTTTTGAGGAATAGCATATTTAAAGTTATTATTTATTGTCAAAATAAGAAAGCTATAGATGCAGCTTTTTGACATGCTTAGTTAGTTTAACATACTCCTTAAATGGAGGTTTAACTTTCCTGCCAAGCAGTCGAATAGATGGCACATTGTCGAAAATAATAAAAATGCCTTTTTGCTGTAAAATAGCAGAATTGTCTGTCTTTTTTATTTACCCGCACGAAACGATCAAATTTTTCGCCCTTTTAAAATCAGCCTGTGCCGAAGGTATGCTTTATTTTCCAGAGTGGTAATGTAATGATTTAGTTTGGGAGCTGTCATAGGTAACAATACAGACGTGGTAACTCAATGAATAGAGAGAATTTCATTCAAAATACACTTTTTTGTGAACCATAGTCTAGCCTTAAGATGTACAAAACCAATTAACTAATCCTGCCCTCACAAGTACAGGTCAAAATCAGGAGGAGAGTACAGGTAAAATGGAATGAACTGTGAACAATGAGATCAAATACATGCCTACCAGCATAAAATTTAAAGACTGCCGTTCCTGGCTTTTTTGGTTTACAATTCGCCAACCGCGATGTGATAGTCGAAGGAGAAGAATAATTAATGACGACGTTTAAAAAAAGAAGGAGATTAGGTATCTCTGCAATTTCAAAACCTCTCTGCTGAAAAAGCTATTGTCGTGCTAGTGGCCTCCCAGTCCTCCTTTACGCAATATATTGAAAGACTTAAAGCCACATCATCTTTATCTCTTTGTTAAAAACAAATTTAGCTACAATTTTGGGTTTTGAGGACAAGTAAATAACTTAAAGTTTAACATGACGAAAATTCAATAAACTGCATTTGGTTCCCTCAAATTCTCCAATTCACTGGTTTTTTGCTCGTTGTTTATCCTGCAAAATCCAAAACCATTTACGCAAAACCTTCTTACTGAGTATGGTAAAAATTTCAATTATCTCTCCGGCGATCATCCGGTGGGCGGCTTAACACTTCACTTCTTCCCCTTCCCCTCCCTCTCTAACTTCTGCAAATTCCACTCATTTTCCGTTTGGATAGACATGCAAACCCCTACACTCTTTATCTTTTAAACCTTTCGTTTCGGATCCTAAATTCCATAAATATAAAAACTCGAATTTTTTGGTCAATTTTTTTATTGTAACAGTTCATTCATTTGCTCGGGTAGATGGTTGACAAACCATTCTCAACAACTAAGTCGCATATTTGTTTTTGCGTCTCCTTTCATGCGTGTGTGGACGTTTTTGCTTTTCTTTAATCTCAGTCGCTGTTCAAATGAAAGAAAAAGGGTCGAAAAATGATATTCCTATTCATCACCAACGTCGACTTTTTATCGTGTCATTGAATTGTCTCCTGGCTGTCATGCTCACGACAGTTTGCTTGCATGTGAAAAAAGAGCAATATTTTTATTTCCAGAAAGCGTTTTAACTTAAATTGCTTACATTAGCATACTGCAAGGGAAGTTCCCTCTACCGGTTCGATTTTGATTGGTTATTAAAAAGTTTCCCCTAAAAAGTCGATATGGGATCAGGGAGGAACAGTGATCGATAATGCGATAAGTCAAGAGTAGCACATAAAATCTTCAGAAAATCATTAGTGGGTAAAATTTCTCATAAAAATTTGCCTAAAGTGGGCATAGATTTTAGGCATCTGGCTCAACTCCACCACAAACACCTTAAGTAAAAACAATATTTCTTATCTCACCCAAGTAATTAAAAACGCTTCCTTTGTGTTTTAAAAAATTCCGTGTTAGTTGTATGTTCTGAAAAGCCTCTTTTTTATAACCGCTTTTAGGTGCAACAAATAAAAGGAAAAAAATCTTCCACTGTTTGCTGTCGTAGTTACGCAGGTAAGGGAGGCTTATCATTTTTCTTCACCAAAATAAGCCCAAACACCGTTCCTGGTGAGGACTCAAGTAAGACACCAACTTCTTTTAGCAGGAGATTTAATTAGCTCTATTCAGCAGTCACCACTCCCGAGTAGAAAAAAAATACATTAGCTACGAGTGTTTTTTTGGGGGGGGAGGAGGGGTTGGAGGAATAAGAACGACCAACGCAGATGGTGAGAAAAGGAGAAGAGATGCTAAAGAAACCTAACAGTAGACTCACAAACTACTAGACTGTTTTAAAAAAAAAGAATTATGAAAAAAAAAACAGCAAAAGTTCCGAACAAACGAGTCCAATGTTCAACATCTTGCCACGATGTTGGACGGGGAACATTTTTTTCTGGAGGGGGGAAGGAACAGGGACTATTTTGAGCCTTCGAAACGCTCGTGATAAATTATTTGCAACGGTTGTGTTAGAATGCAATCTTCCTTTTTGGGTGCTCTGTTTTTGAACCACTGGACATCTCCCGAACGGGATTAATGGTTTGGACAAAACTGTTTCGGTTTATAAAAAAAATCCGCGCAAGCACAAATTCACTCACGCATATATGAGACAGCTTTAAAGGTATTATTCGAATTTAAAACATAGGCGGAGTTTTGAATAAGTTCTTTGATATTCTAGTAAGGGTAAAATGTTGGAGTCAGTTCCTTAAAATTTGGATTTTTCTAACGCTTTACCTTTGCCGCCAGTTTATTATTATTACAAGGAATTTTATTACACAGATCGTTTTAGTCTCCCCACTACTTAACGGGGCGATAGGGCAGAGCTCCGCTTAATTTCACAGCGCCTCCCTAGGCCAAGAATAAACTTAATTCCCGCCCTGCATGACAAATCCACTTCAAAAGAAGGACATTATCCCTCACTTTAGAGACTGTATACCTAGCAAAAAGGCTACAAACGGCAACTATGTGATGGGCGTACTTGAGTCCGGAAGCATTCATAATAAAAAAGTCAATAAAACCACGACGACTTCAGAGAACTACTTCCATCTCAATTTCCGCTTGATGGCGAGTAGTGGAACAAGATGGCACTGAGATAACTCGAAATAATCTCTAATGAAATGCCTACAATGCTGAAGCAAATATGGGGATTTATGAGTGTGATACTTTCCTGGTGCTTTTAGGGAAATTACTCAAGAAAGGCAAATGGCAGGCAGAATTTACTGGCTGTAGAATGTCGATCAAACGAATTCTGGCCGATCAGCATCCAGAAAATGTAATGTCAGCATCAGTGACGGGAGATTTGATTACGCCATTACGACCACAGGCAGTCAAGGATACATCCATAAAGAGGCACAAATGAAACCCTAAATATCCTCTTTTAAGGGATAATCTATCACAAAGCATACATAGTTTGCACACTTGTACTAAATTTTAATGAATTTTTGGTAAGTTCTTAATTAGGTGACAGAAACGAGCAACAGATTTAATCAAAAGTTTTGACTCCGCGAACTCATGCTACTGTTTACAGAAGGGATATAACAGCCAAACCGGAAAGCCGACTGTGAATAAATGGGTATCCCGATACAACCCATTTTACATTAATAGCCACCTGGAAATATGACGAGTTGGCACAATTTAAGAAGCAGTTTCGCTTTTTAAATGGTGCCAATGCTTACGTCATTGTCGCTCGAAATTTCTGGGTAAATGGACACAGCCTTCCTAATGCGTGATTAAGCGGGCGAAAATAATGTTTTCAAAGCGTTGTGCCATCGTTCTCAAATTCACCTGTTCCCAAGGTACTTTGCCTCTGATTGATAGATCAAACAAACCAATTAAGTGGAAGAAATCAAAAAATCCAAACGGATTCCCTCCTGATTGGTTAAAAAGCTGACAAGAAATGAATTAGGGTAAAATATTAATCAAACCTTAATTATGACATCTTTTTTTCTATCATTGTAGCCATGGGATCATAAAGTAGGATCAAGCGTAGCCTGTGTTTTTTCTTCTCCTTTCCTAAAATTAATGGAGAATGAAAGTTGGAAATTGGCAAATTTCCAGAAGGAAAGAGATTTTATCTTTTCTTCTGGTTTTTTTAAAACGCAGAATAAGGCATAAAATGAGCGCAATTCACTCAGTCTGTTGTGAACAATTAAATGGACACGTAGTAGACAGTATGGTGGTTTGTTTTCCTGCCAGATTGAAAGGCCTTTTGTCAGCATAATGATGAGCAGATTTGACAGAAAGATAGAAACAAATGTACTTACACTGACAATGTGTTTAGTCACCAAAATGATGTAACGTTAAAAGTTTAAATACAATGAAGTCATTAAAACGGTTGGTGGATTTGTAGCAATTTTTAATAAAACCACATTCGCTCCACACTTTGTTTACAACGACGTTTTTAACTGCGCAAAATAAATGATACAGATGAAAAGTTTAATTGAAGTCTAGCTCTTTCCATAGATCAGAACATGTTACTAACGAATAAAATAAATCGTGATTTGGTTATAATTTCCTACCTTCAAAAGTGTCACTGTCTGCGGCAATAATATTGGGTGGTTAGTGTCATTATTTACTTATCACTGCGAAAATAAACAGTTCAGTTGATTTGATACTTGACATTTTCCTGTCAATGGGCAAACACATTCAGCTCTTTCTTCTGTGTCATTGTGGAGATTGTTGGGTATGAGCATAATCGCTTTGTCAGTAGTGTTTGGGTGTATGAGGAGGAACTGTCAACAGTGCCCGACCGTTGGTTCGAAATGATGTCAAGGGACTGATAGCCTGACTACTAATGTCAGCAGGCATTTTGAGGCTGCTTGGCAAATCTACGCAATTTACGCTCTGCGGAGAAAGAGAGGGAGGGAAAGGAATGAACAGGACGGCAAAATTATCACACATTTCAGACTGTGCGCAGTTAAATCTGGTTTTTTTTGCTTGGGTCCAAAAACACACTTTTATTCGTAACAGTTACATTTTTCAAATGACACTATTACTGTTTAGCCTTCGTAAACCAAAATTTGGAGGTTTATACCATCCTTAAAGCCACGAATTTGTTGCCTTTTCAACTAAAGAGATTTATTGGCGGAAACGAGTTGGTGTTAAGTCGCCCTCAAATGACAGTTCCTCTGTAAAATAGTGGATTTTAGTTAAAAGGAAAAAAAGTGGTCTCGATTGGCAAAATAACTCCTTCTTCTGCCTCAGATAAGCACACTTTCAACAGTACCGATTCATGAAAGCCATAACCAGCTGTCATCTGCAAGCAAAGTTGCATGGAAAAATTGAGTATTTGTTTAATTTCGCCACGTTATAGCATAACTTGGTTTGGTGTTTACTGCGCACTTTTATCACGATGTGCCAACTAAATTTGCCCTTATTTACAAACTTTAAACCGAAATTCCTAAATGGGCGAATTGTGGTAAGAAAAGGGGTGGTATTGTAGTCGAGTTGGAAATGTGGCTAATTTTGGCTCGGACTAAAGACAAATCCTGTCAGTCGACATCGAGAATGCATTACATATTCATTACTAATTCATAACAGTCAAGAGCAATCATAACTTGAGGAATTTTTACACTGAGGCAAAGCGAATAACTAAAATAGTCCTTTTAAATGCAAGAAGAAGCATTTATTCGCCCCTAAAATGCTGTCTGACAAATTTTAATGGATAGCACTGAAGCTCTCTTCATCTCCAATCTAGTGATGATTGGCATAGGTAGCAGTAGTCAGCGTAGTTTAAATGGTGATTAGCATTGACACTGCATTTCCACAACCATTTCCTAGGACTTTGTAGGTTATCTCGTACGCTCAAACTATCGCAGCTACTTTTCTTGTCTCGCACAAAATAAAGCCACAATGAACTTCGGATCATCACCTCGGAGTTCATGCAGCCTCCAAGTTACTACCCCGTGAATCCAAAGAGCGTGACTGCTTTCGCATCCTCATCGGCCTTTACTATTTAGTAATCCCAGAAGCCTATCCCTTTTGCATAGCGGTTTTAAAATTTGCGAGTGTAACAGATCATTCAAAAGTGAATTAATGTGTAAACTCATTAAGCATCATGAAGTGGTAACACAAAATGCCCAGTTTTTGGACGTTTTGTCCAATCAGCACGTCGAGTTTGCGTCAAACAGTTCCTCGAAGTCGCTGGTTCCCTACAGATCAACTTTCGAGGCGAGTCTTTTCGGTGAGGAGGCGTCGACATCTCTGCTGTCGCATTGATTAGTGAGCGGGAGGTGACGGTGCCAATGTCATTTGCATTCAAATGGCAATATATCCATAAATGTGATGTCTTCTATTCCCTTTCCTAATTAGAGTTACTTGTCTCTCACCGAAAGTTGTCTAGTTAATAAAATAATTTGTCAGCCTTGGAATGACTTGCAACTTATTCCACCCCGTTGTCCTCCATGGAATGTCGATAGGGAAGAACAAAACAGCTACAATTGTTGAACTTGACTAACGATGGGAAAAATCAGTGTGCAAATGAACTGAAATTAGTAACACAGTCCAGAAAGGTGGATGAGAAAAAAAACAACAAGCGCAGCAGTGACAGATGGTGGAAAGATCTGTGAGAGGTAAATAAGATGGGCGCTTTCATGTGGGATGCGCGCTGCTAGTGATTGGACAGTCTTCACTTATTGCAAAGCCTCGTTAAAGTTCCTCAGATTTAGTGAGCTCATCAAAAATATGTATATTATGGCAAAACCCAGCTAAGCAGAAAAGTTACTGCAACCCTAATTTAAGGTTACGTAAGAGGTAGTCGTGAATGGATTACAAGGGTAGCCGTGGTTGTGGTGGGGGAGATGAAACTAAGATTTTATTGCTTATCCCAAAAAGTAAAATAAAATCCACCACCCCACTCTCTCAAGACCTTTATGCTAGGGCGTATCAGATCGAATAAGATTTTGTAGTTGCATAGGCAGTTTTATCGCTCGGCTAACCAACTATCACACGGACTGCGTTGCTTGTTCGCATAACAATCAAAGTAGGTTTATTTAAAGATGATGAAAGTTTCGATCTTCTCGTCCAAGCAACGATGCTAAATTGGTTAGTGTACAAGGAGCATATCTTTTCCTGGGCAAAAATAACGTGACTTCCAACAAAGGCATTAAACAAGTTTCTCTCCAGAGTCCTATAAAGGTCCTAACATACGACCAACAATTTGCGATTCCTCGCCGAGTAATTGCAACATCCATTACTAACTGCGCATTGAGAATAAGGGCTAACTTCTGATCACCGAACTCGCCTTATTCCGAAAGAACGACGAGGGTGGAGGAGACGAGTCAACGGCTTAATCACACTAACTTACATTGCTCTGAAGGATTTACGACCAATCTTGGCGCCTCCTCAATGAGAAAGTCTTGTTGAACCGAAAAAGGGTAGAGAAAGATAAAAGTAAGCAGGTTAGACAACTTGATGGACTGCCATTCGTTAAGTCTCAAATTCGATGGTGACAGTTGCACTTTAGTGGTGTTTGACAAGCACGAGAAAGTCAAAATCGAGAAACACTACTGTCAGGCTGCTATGCTGGTGGTTGCGGTGAGTGAGCTCAATCCACATAACTTTGTTTGATGTCTGCCACCCTTAAATGCCATGGAAGGTGGAAAAATTCATTCAAATGTGCAAACTCTCACAACTAAGTGGCCTCCAAAGACAAGTCGCCATGTAGAGTTCACTCCAACCCTGAGTTCTGTGACTGCAGCAAGACCTTGCCTTAATTATTAAAAGTGGTTTTTAAAATACCGTCCATGATTTTGCTAACTTTACTGGCACCTTTCGCACAGTTGCTTATAGATTAATTCAAGACTGGTGGCGGCCGGAAGGGAAGGATGATAAGGCCCAGAACGGGAGAAAAACTACGTGGTGAAACAATGAGCATTTCACTTGCAAAAGCAAGTAGGCGGACATCTCAGTTTTCGAGGTTTGGTCATTATCTTAGTGCAGTGAGGCCTAATTCAATGTCTATTGCCTTCCAAATCTTTTATTGGATTAAAAGTAAACTTCTCTTTTAAATCTCCGAGGACCCTCTACAATATAGAAGACTTTAAGTCCATTTTAAATACTCTTAGCTAAAACATCGCTCGATATTTATGAAACGAAAAAAAAAGAACAAAATTTAATTTAAAAAAAATATGTTATTGAGAAAAATAGGCAGCAAGGGCGCATGAAAGGTCAGCTGCACAGCCAATCAGATTTGGGCTCAAAAGTGGCTGCAGTCAATGATAATTAGGTTCAGAAATAGCAGAAGTGACTCCTAATTTTAAATCCGGTTTATCATTACATGCGTAATCAAAAGAGTTGAAATGAAATTTGACAAACTACCTATCATTTTCTTGCAAACAAGAGGTGAAAATGTTACTCATTAGTGCTATCATAAGCGGAAATGTTGCCGTACTCCGTTACCGCCGTAACAAAAGTGATACACTTCAATCCAGGCAGTGTTAAAACAAGTGACATTTCATGCTCTAGGTAGAGGTATTAGGAGATTTGATTAGCCCACCAAAAGGGATGATCCCAGTCTCCCTAATCCAATTCACTTCCACCTTATTCAATAAGGAGGAATTACGGGCGTCGTAGCAAGACATCCGGCTGATTAAATTAATTAACTGAGGATAACTTTATCAGAATATTATTAACAATTAGTGAGATACCCTTCTAAAAACAAATTTATATTTTTATACATCACAGGGGAGAGGAAATATGGGAGGGAAAAATGTGCACTTTATCTTTTTTGTTTTGACAACGCAAATAAGATCTATACTAATGACTATACCGTTGAAAAGGTGAAATAGGCATTTTTACCACTGAGTAGAATCTTCTAAGCAAAATCCACTCAGAGTCGAATCCTATTGGCTGAGGAGGGGGGAACTAGATAATAACCCTTATCTGGTTGGGAAATTGGTCTTTTCACTGAATGGTGCACAATTCATTAACTCATGGACATAAGAATGGCCTATAGCAAAAAGCTGAGAAAATATTGCAACACTCTAAAATGGAATGGCAAAACAAAACATCGTTTGATTGGCAAAGTGCTCTCCGAGGGGAGACATCCTCAGAGCTTAAAATTAAAAACGTCCAGGATCAAAGGACTAAGGAAAAGAGAGTAGCGAAAAAGCGGTCAAATTGGACATGTGCACAGCGAGCTGCGATTTAATTAGGCGATTTAAAATTACAAAAGTATGGACTGTACGAAAACGATGACGCAAATCGGTAGAGAGATCCGTAGTTGATTAATTTAGGGTAAGCGCGACTGAAATTTAGCATTTACCACCACCACACCTACTTTTTTCAAATTCAGAGGTGAAAAAAATTAGCAAATATATTTCTTTTAATGCGAAAGTCATTTAAAGGTGATAATAAAAAGGGAAGTCACTCACCCCAACAGATTAAATGCTAGCACCTGATAAAAATAGACAGAGCTGGAGCCTCGTGCACATTCATCACCTCCGCGTCAGTCTTTTGTTTTAAAATAAAAAAGACGCGCCGAATAGCGTGGAGAAAAGGCTGTGATGCGCATTTGTAGATGCAAGGAAATCAGGCTACACGAAGACAGTATTATGTGGTTACGGTCTTGCCATGAAATATGGCCTATTTATAGGGTTAAATCTCCCATTATTTTCCTTATATTTATGCATCTGTTTTCTCTTTGGAGTATGACTTATTTGGATTCGCTAATTAGCTGTTGGCTCGGAAGAGACCAGGAAATTAATCGACTAGCAAAAGTGCTTTTTCTCTGTAAAAACAACTGTGGTTAAATTTTAAGGCAAAATATTATCCCCAGATTTTAAAAATGGTCTTCTGCCACTAAAAGGTTCTGCAAGTATGCCAATTAGCAAAGAAATTAATGTATTTGATAGTTTGCACATCTACAGTTTTACTTTTTACTCCCCATAGTCAAAATTTGACTCAATAGCAATTATTATTAATTACAGGGTCACAAGTCTAAAGAGTGATTGGTCAATTAGCTGATCGAAGGTCATTCACCTCCCACTTTAAGTATATAGTGTTGCTAGGGCAAATTATAATATATATTCTATCAGGATAAGGGGAAAAGGGATTCACTTGCTCATCGATTACGACTTTACTAATTTTGCTTGCAAATGGCCTAAAACTTTTCTAAAGTAGATGTCTTTATCTTCGGTTTTGGTTATTTCATGTTTAACTTTTGCCCTGAAACGTCTAAAGAGGCACCGATAAGGCAATGAATGAGTGAATGGTAGGTTACATCCACTAAGAAAAAGTAATTTCTTCTGCATACTTAAGGCATCAGTTAGAGGTAAAATATCACATACCCACAGTATATTCCTAAAGATTATGTGCTGGGTAGGGTTCTAATTTTTGGGCAGAGTTGAAAAAACAATTTATTTGATGGAAAAACATGTTATAATAAGACGAAATTCAAAGGTGGTCATCAATGGTTTTAAAAAACAATCTGAAATTTTTTCTGCCTGGATTTTTGACTCGAACAGGGCATTTGTCATTTGGAATCTGACCTGGATATCCTCTGAACCGATCAGTCCATTTTCTAGTGCGTTCAGAAAGCAGTTTTTTGTTCTTCTATATTTTGCTAGATCTACTAAAAACAAGTGGATCTAAATTTCGAGTTTGCATGAGCTCCAGTAAAATAAATAAATATTTGTTTTAGTTTTAGGAAAACGCTTATTATTTGATGTAGATTTAAGCCACCGAACATACACGAAACCAGCCGTATAGATAAATTAGTTAATTACTGGTGCTTATTTTGACAAGTAAAAATTATTCAGAGTCATCCTTAACATACGTTGGAATTTCAAACTGTAATATTTTGAATTCATGAGTGGATTGACGTAAGATAGTACACTTCAACTCCATTAAGTAAGAGACGAGTTTATAAAACAAATGAGCAGGTTCCCCTTCACCTTATGGTTCTAATAACGCAAAATTTCGCATTATCAATTTTGTAAAAGCGCAAAGACTTCTCTGCTTGGTGACAATTTATGGAGGCCACCAGGATTTACAGGCGAAATGGTCTTTTATGTGGTATAGATACTTAATTGCGTCCAAGTGCTTACTTACAGGGAATTCGGGGTATGGAACAACTCTACGATGGACCATTTGGATTTGAATGTGACCTTTTAAACTTTAATATTAGTCGATTTTAACAAATTTTCAGGAGAGAAGAAACAGAAATATGTGATTTGTACAAAGTGCTTTGCAAAAATAAAGACTTGGGACAAAATACTAAGTGAATTTTCAGCAAATATGCCTGTAAACTTTAAATAAAACATATTAATGATATACCGGAGTTAATATAATACGTGAAGAAATGGAGTCAGCATTTATAGCTGTCATTAGTAGATCTAAGGAAAAAAAACTTTTATTTAAAGGATTTTAGTTGATAAATTAAACATGGCAGCTTTAGTAAAGCCTGATTAGGGACTACAGCAATTTCCTCCATCTTCCTAACAATTTAAATACTTAAAACTGTGTTTCAAAATTGTAACCTATTAGGAAAAAGGGAAATTTGAGGTAAATTTGGTTTTTGTGGTAGATCAAATTCAATTCTGTGCGATACTTGACAACCGACTACTTTTATTTACCGAGCCATAAGTTGAGTTTGCAATTACAGATAGGCTGGAACTTAGGTCAATCGCTAGTCAGAGACTGATAGAGGAAGCTGGATTCAGTTAAAATGTTTAAAATGTCTTTACTTTGTTGAGTATAACAAAATTTTAAGTTGTTCTACTTTTCCTATATCAAAATTTTGGGAATTTGGGTTTATATCTTAAAATGTCACATCCTTTGCCTATTTGTAAAAATTCTTCCCTCTACTTGTTGTTAACATCGACGCATGAAAGGTAATGCATTTTTAAAAAACCTTCCATCAACTCTTTAGCCCACTTGCAAAAACAAATGCGTAGGTGGTAAGTCAAAACAGTATAATCCAAATATGGGGAAAGTGTGCAGGCAAGCTTGCAATATTCTTCAATTTTCACATTGGGTCTAACTCAAAAGTGATTGCACTTTTGAAAGGATGAATTAACTTACAAATTCACGGCGTCGCCACACGACACAGAAGGTCGGCGAGAGCTGTAGGAGGAGGCATCCCCGCTCGAGTCAGGACGGTAGAGGAATGAGGTTCGCCGATTTGGGGTCGGATTGAGGGCCAGACAGCTGGAGTGGACGTCGGAAAAGTCGAAATCTCCCGCATCCTCGCCCAGACTGCTGGTTCTACAAGTTGCAGAGGATCTGTTTTTTTTTTTAAAAATCTCTTTAAGTAATTGCGTAAATGGCGAACCCGAGAGTTCTCATAGGGCCTTACATCTAATTAGCGGTCCAAAAACTGAAATATAATACAAAGAAGCATGTCAAACTTTGCATATACAACAAACGTTAATATTGGAATGCAAAAACAGTAGAATTCTTTGAATATTGGCAAAGTTTCCGGTCATTGTAGAAGAGCAAGAAAAAAAGGCAAAGTAATTCAAGGATAGATACACTTTCAGGTCGGTAAACAACCACACACGCCCTCCAGTCTCCTTGTGAATACCCATAGAACTGAAAAATTTACCGAGACCTAAATTTCTTCCAATAAAAGCAGAAACACCGCTTTATTCCCTTCACCTATTATTGTACCCATCCAAGTTGAAGCATCTTTGCCTTCTCTAGGACGTCAAAAGTGCTAAGGTCTTGTTAAGAGTTGTGCGTTTGTATACATGTGAATTTTTGTCAAAAAGATCACAATTAAGCACAAAAGTGAGCAGGAAAGGGAAGGTTTTAAAAAAGTTAATTTTTTCATAAACTAGGTATCTGCTTAACTCTGTGACGTTTGATGTACTACTGGATTAGAATTGATGTCAAAATGAAAACTTTAGCAGATAAGAATGGCATAATCAAACCCCGGAATTCCAGTATTGATTAATGATGTGCTCGACAGAAAATCAATAGATGATGTAAAGGGCTGGTGTTTATCGATTTTTTGCTAGCAAACTGTCAATGAGTAATAACACAAAAATAATTCGTAAATATTTTGTTATTTCAAAAGGACAGGCCATTTTTCGGGAAGGATAACAAATAAAGTTTTGAAATCGATCCGCGGAAATAAATTTGATTCCTTTTTATTCTTTAAGAGGAAGTACTGGGTACAAAAGACTTTTTTCCTTGACCTGTCATCCATAGAGGAGAAGAAAAGTAGAAAATGCATTTAAATGTCTTTTCCTTCTTTTTTGCTAAAACGGAAAGGAAATCTTCCTGTTGGCTCTTGATTAGGACGAAGTGATTACTTCAAATCATCTACAGCACTTTAAAGTGTCAAATGGGCATCTGGAAGCAGGGGGCAAGACCACCCCTCCTGAGAGGTAGTAGTGCCCACTTGTAAAATGCCCTTGAAATCAAGAACGAAGGAAGTTAATAAAACGAATCCTCTAAATCTATGCAGGTGTTTGTACATAGGACCTCTCATCCGGGCGTCATTTAAACAAAACTCGGAAAATGTCAGTCTCAGTAAAAAATTTATTTTACAATTCAAATTACTAATTTGATTATAAATATTGTGAGAAAGTGCGAAATAAATGGGTGGAGTTGAGGTTACTCTGTGTGCACAAGTACAGTTGACATTCGGCAGTTGAATCACAAATGCGGCAAATTTGTGTGTGAGAAATCACGGCTCTTAGGCCCACATTTTATCCTCCTCTTTGCTTCCCTTTTTTCTTACTTTAAATACGGAAAAAGTTTTCAAAAGGTTACAATCTCACACATTGGGGTACGCAGCATGGGGAGGGGGTGGGGAGGGGGAGGCTCTTCTGTGGTTTTATGTGTACCACCAATTGTCTCTTTCAATATTCTTACAGAAGGAACACAGAGAAGGCTAAAACTCCATTTGACGAGGCAAAATAATGCATGAAGGCATAAAGATAGTGAGTGATAATTTTTCGCCCCTTGGTTGGTCCCACATAAAAAGAAAAATTATTATTATGTCTTAAAAGAGAGCACAAAATCGCAAGTAGCGTTATAAAGCGAATAAAAATCTGATTTTGAAACTCCACCTTCGTGTAATCATGTTGAGGAAAGGAAATTACTAAGAAAATACTATATCTTTACAAATTAGAGAAAATCACAAAAAAAGAAGAAATTTAGAAATGTGGTGTGTCTAAATTAAACAAAATTTATTTTATACCAGTATTATTAATTCTTCAGGAATAAAATAGGCTAATTTTGGGGATGTCTTGACTTCAACTCACGAGCCTGACGTCTTTCCAGAAACCTCATGATAATCAGGTGGCGAGGATTTTATCCCACTTAAGTGGGTATGCGTGAAGATTCTATCTGAGTACTTTCGGCTGTAAACAGGTTCCCTCAGGCGCCTCAAATGCCGTCCAATGACCTTAGGTTGAGTGACAAGGTTCTCGGCATTCAAACTAACTCTTCGTAGACGTATTTGGTTGTATCGGGTGGAGGAGGCGGAGGAGGAGGCTGACGATGCCATACTCTGCGCGTGTCCCTGGTGTTGTAAGTACGACGGCAATCTGCCTCGGCGAGCCCCACAAGTTGACTGGGAGTTCTGCGCTTCACCAGAGGACCAATCAGACTTGCGTGTGGAGATGTGCGCGCTTTTCAAAGGCAGGCAATCGCATTTCGCCATTTACTTTGTGGTGTTGCAAATGAGACACACACACACACACACACCGGAAGGTGCAGGATTAAGCTATCAGAAACCAACTATTTAATCACCTTTTGAAGGATAAAAATTGGAAAACTACTGGGGGAGTTATACTGGCGTTTTAATGATGTTTGGCTCTAAGTAGGGGCAAAACACCTTAAGTTCCTCTTAAGATTTGTCATCTTTAAACAACATTGCACCTCGTGATTGTCGCACTCATGTAAAGGCTAGCAGTGGGTAAAAGGTGAGGGATGCAGGGAGCACTGCGTGGTGGCCAAAATGACCGTTATGAAAGAAACTTCCCAAGAGTTGGCACTGGGGGTGGAACTATGCTAAAGTAAAGCCATATTTCATAAGCCGCCAATCCTGGTGATCATGTAGGTGGTAAAATTTAATTTTGATGAAGAATTCTGCTCGAGGAATTTTCTTTTTACCTTTTCTGCTAATTCTCTACCTCTCAGGTCAAAAGAACTGGAAGGCGTTGCTTTCTTTCTCTTCCTCTCAGGGTGGAACGCTCGTTTGGGACTGCTTACTCGCTCTAGTAAATCGGTCAAGCTGAAGGTTCTAAGGATGTCAATGAGTACTTTGTTTAAATCTGTACTGAAAGAAGTACCGCCAAATTTCAGTAATATACAATTTATATTCCCACCGCAGAGGTTTGCACTTCTAACACACTTACGAATTAAATTTTCAAACTAAACAAATTTTTAACCCAAAATGAGTTAATTTTAGTTTATTTCCTTTTTCCAATTCCACTTTGAAAGGATCCCGCCTTTTTAAATCCTCATTTTTAGTGCGAAAATTCGGTAACATAATAATCGACTGACAGAGAGTTAAATGTGTCATAATAACAAAGAAGTGGGTTAAACGAATCTGTTGACATATTTTTGGGGGATAAAAGGGATAGCATGGGCTACTTTAAAATTGGAAAGGGTTTTTATAGCCTTGTCTACTCTGATAGTCAAGCAAGCTAGTGATACTGCCCGGTAGCTTATCTCACGCATTTATAAACCATTTATTTACTCCAGAATTGCTTTTTTTCTCCATAGCTGACAGCAACTATCATTACTACTTCTGACAGTTCATTTGGTTTGCCAAAATCCCCATAAATGGGCCTGCTTGTAAGCCAAAAAACACGATCCTACATCTGGTTAATTGGTTTCACTCATATTAGCCAACCTGTTTGCAGCCTGACATCTCACGGCCAGGTGGCATACAGTGACAGGAGATACATGTCACATTATTAGAGGCCAAATGCTGACAAAAAATCGCCGCGTTATGTAGATACGACTTGCTGATGGCAAAAAACTACTTTATTTATGCACTCGAGCAATTTTGCATGCAAAGCAACAAAACTAAGCCAAATGTGGGCAGCGCCTTTCCTGTGTAGATAGGCCATGCAAGACGTCAAAAGCATTTTCAAACTGAACAACTAGTGCTTTATTCTCCGAAAGCAAGGAATGCTCTCCCCAGGGCTATTTCACACGGTAAGGTAGTAGCAGCACGATTTCGGTCCAAAGGCAGGGGAGGTAATACACAGTGTTTTCAATGGATGTTTAAGGGGGGTTAACAACGGGCGATGAGGTGAGCAGAACGCGTGGACGATTGTTACCTTGTTTAGCATCAGGTGTGCTGCGATAAAAGTCTAATCATGTACAGGCCCACACACAATTATTTTCTTTTTATTTCCATTACATAGCTGCAAAAGTGCATAAAAGCTGTCGGCGAATAAGAGTGCCTTCAAAGGCTTTAACCGACGGTGGAAACGATACTGACGAAAGAAAAGATTGCCCTTGATTATTTTGCCATGTTGCTTGTCCAAACAGTGCCTCGTTTTATGTTGGGTGGAAAATCAAAGATAGCTACTACTGTTTTGCAAGTAATATAAAACAATTGTTCGATTGTGCACACCCTGAAAATTGTAATTTAGCCAAAATAAAGTAGCTACTAATACAATAAAACGTAGCATTGTTTTTTCACAAATTTCATTCCAACCGAAACTTTAGATATTCTTATTTTTTAGAAAATAATGCATTGAGAGAAAAAGTGCGATGTTTTGCGTTTTCCTTTACTACGCGGTGATTTAGATGCTAATAAAATGCTTACTACTGTTTATATCCAAAAAAATGTGCAGAAGTGTGATTAAATTCAACGACGCCAAAATTCGTATTTCCTTCCACTTATTTTTCAAATATTTTAAGCTCCTATAGAGTGCCTGCTAATTTGCTGTGGAATGAGCTTGTCTATTTTACCTGTTAGGCTTAGCCTTATTCCAAATTCGGAGAGGGTTCTTGCCAATCCCGTTTTACAGTAATTAAAGGAGGCGGGAAGATAAAATACACTGTTTAAAAGCAGTTTAAGTAATGAAATCCAAAGTAGAAATCAAATGCATTGGGTTTTAAAAGAACCACTTGTTGGTATATAAAGGCTAATTGTTGATTCTCTAAGGATTAATGTCATGAAGAATGTTCACGAATGGCTAATGTGAGTGATGAATGAATTGGTTTATATCAGCATCATTTGGAAAGTGAAGGTTGTAGTGGGGGCTGAGCAAATGAGTCCCATCCACGAGCATTAACAGATGGCAAAAGGCAAGTCATAAGTAGAGACTGTTTGTAAGTTCTTTTATTTGTGCTCTAAAGATACTACGTTTTTAGGATTGCTGACTGACTGCTTTGCAATGAGAAATGCTTTTGCAATCTGCCCCAGGGCTGAAGGAATTGTGCACATGATTGGTTGTCTCCACAGCATTTTACTATTTGCTCAAAAATTCCAAGGCGTAGACCAACCCATAACCCAAAAAATTGGTCAGTTTTGTACATGGGGCAGTGCACATGGGAGGCCGGGAAATTCCGAACGAGCTCCGCCCAGCCCTTACATCCATACACAGTTTAAAGGCGAGCAAGCAAGACTATTCCTCGAGAAGTGGACAGAAGCATTGATTGGCGACTAGTGGGTTAGAGGGAGAAAAGCCACACTCTTATTCTTATAGAACACCTCAAAACAGGACCTCACGTCTCCTATAGCTAGCAAACTGACTCGTGGGAAAACACACACTCTGAAGTGGGAGGAGAGGGTGAGTGAGGGAGAGCTGAAGTAAAGAGATGGGGGAGCGAGGAAACCGCTGCCTCTTTTACATCCCTTTCATTCGTGTTCCTGCTGATGCCACCCTTGCGAGCGATGAAATCAACCTCTCCTTGGTACTGGGTCACTACATGATGGTGATATGCAAAAAGAACGGTAGGAAGATGGAAGTGAAAGCGAAGCATGGGTGACTAAAGCAGGTTTCTGATTCTGAACGCGAAGGTCAACGTCCTACACGAGTGAAATTTGTGGCGTAGCCGTGTCTCCTTGGAAATAACGGATTCCACATTGTCATTCTTTTAATTGTAGCAAATAAAACACTTGCGGTTATTTCACCTTTGTCATAATAGCCGCACAGACCCACTTGATTGCCCTCCACTTAAAAGGAAAAAATAATTGCTTGTAGCTACAATGAGAAAGGTTTGAAGTTTTTTAATATGCAAAATGTAAATTGAATGTGGAGAGGCAACATGACGCGCTGATATTGGTGAAGTGCGCAACAATTTGGCCCCCAAAATCCCAAACCAGGGAGAACAACGCCACTTGATAGCCCTCAGGTGCTCAAAGGCACTTGCATGGCGCATTGCTTCATGTTCTTTAGTTGTTGCAAACCTTTCCAACATTTAAAAGTCCCATTGTAATGGAAGATGAAAATATTTTGCAGCTTCGAGTAGACTTGGGACGGCAAATATTCACCCTCAGTCCCCACGATTTCAGTACTTAATATTTTATTAAATGAATACTAGTGCCTTTATACTCACCTTCAGAAAATTGTGACTTTTAAGAAAAAAGGTTTTCTCTTACCATATTTTGGTCATTGATGAATTAGTAGGCAGTTGGTTGTCAGTAGTATGTTTTCAATAACAATAAAAAAGAAAGATGGGGGGGAAATTTTCATGTTTTACCTATTAATGAGGGCAACTTAGAACTGGAGGACTAACTATTTTCACTCCTATCTGCTAAATAGGATCAGAAATGATTAATGCTTCAAATTAGTCCCTACTTAAATGCTGGTAGTCAGTAGCAAGTGGTATGTACCCTCATTGCCAAAGTGACTCATTACAAGATTGGAGAGGACTCCAAACCTTAAAAAAGTCCGCAAAATGGTGCATTTCTAAACACTGAATATAATGCAATTAGTTTTTATTAAAATCAAATCCGTTTCCCATTGTCATAGGCCACCTTTCTGTAATCTTGGAAACTGTTGTAGTAAATGTAGGGCGGAGAAATTTTACCTCTGCTTAAATTTTTTATGGTTAAATCAAATGTGCTTTTTGGAATCCTTTTAATTTTTAATTTATTTGGAGCCGAACTTTAGAAAAGCACTTTTACTCAATTTTTTCGGCTTGGGGGGGGGGGGAGGAGACAGAAAAGAAACGAGATTAATCCGAAAGCGCACTATATTCCACCATCTTTTACCTACTTTTAAGCATTGTGGAAGTTTGGTCTTAAAAAAAATGATTGAGAAATTGCAAAAGTGCCATATGTTTGTGTTTATTTGAGCTTTAATTATGCTGAATAGAATGAGATGCATCACCATGTCTCCGTACCTGATGTGGTCTGCTACAAAGTTGCAAGTTGCTTTCAACAATTTTCTTAACAAAATCAACTTTGGTGAAATTATCAAACAATTTTGTACTTATTTCATGTAAAAATGTAGGTTTTTGGGGAAAGAGTAGCTCAATTTTTCGTCCATCATTTGGATATAAAAATTTCTTAAGAAGTTTGGTTGGCAGTTATCATACCAAGGCATCCGTCATCCATGTCGCAGACTCACTTTTTTTATTTAATTTAAACCAAATTTGGCGAAGAGGCTGCATAAAGATACCGTTTGAACACGGCAATCTTCCACTTCCGGTTTGCCGCCAGATTGGCTCTCGGATCAAGTCGGTGCAGTT